CACGCCCAAAAATCGTCATTCGAAAGAAAAAACTGTAGAAAGCATCGGTTCTTTTAAAATAAAAGCGCTGGTCATTTTTTTTCAAAAAGATAAAAAAGCACTGGTTATTAAGCTCAGGAAATAACAAAAGCAGTAAAATAACAAAGAAAATAACAGTTCGTTGAAATAAATAGGATGCGATAAACTAAATCGAGGATGTACGAGCGAGCATTACGTGCAGTACCATTCGGCCGACTGCGAAGGGTTATTTTGCCTCGAACTTGTAAAGGGGAAATATTTTAAAGCTTGAAGAAGACAAAAACAAATAATATTAAGGAATTAGTAAAAGTTGTAAAATCTTGTAAAGTATTTATAATGGTAATTTTCCGCCCCATTAAATCGTATACATTTCTTATCATTGCCACAATTGGACCTCTTCAGTACGACAATTGTGGTGATTAGTGTCAATTCGAGCTTAATTTCAAATCGTTTTTTTATTAAAATTAAAATTAGTCAAAGTAAAAGTAAAAGTTATGGTGTGTAAATCTGAAGGGGAGTCGTTGGTAAAGGGGTTGTTGGTAAAGTCTAGTAATTCCGTTTTGATAGTGCTCTGCTTTATCCGTAAGCTTGCGGTCTTTAACTTTATTTTTTTCGTTTTGCAAGAAAAAATCACAACACAGTGTTATTCGAATCTGAGAAAACAGGTATGAGGAGTGCAACGCACATAAGGAATGTTTTCTTACAATTAGTGAACAACGAATAAGAATGAGTGACACCCGTCAGAACTCTTCGAAGGCCTGTGCACCAGATAGACATGGCAGCCCAAACTGAGGCACGAGCCCCAGAAATGCTAGGCCCGGCATACTTTCGCCCGACGTTCCCTCGTTCGATTGTTCTGACGATCTTAGTGAGATAGCAGCCAATATAACAAATATAAAAATCACATAAAACAGCACACGAAATATTCCTTTTGGTGGTGTTCCATAAATGAGAGATACCTAAAATTTCAGGAAAGAATGTTCCACTAATGTCTCACTTCTGCCCGTCTTCATTCCGATTTTGGCTAGATTTCATCTCCTAACCAGGAAATGAAGCGGAGTCAGCTGTCAGACCTTCTTCAATTGCTGTCTTCGAGTTCACAGCTGCTTTTGAACTAAAAGTGAACATCATTGAATTTAGTGGATTTCACTGAAATTATAGAATTTCAAGGCAGACCACTTTCTAGGATTTCATGCCAGCTGTCAATGGCATTCAGGAGACAACACTAACCGAAAAAAATAAATATCAAAACGAAAAAAAGCTTAACGAAGCCAGTAGAAAAGTTAATCAAAACGAGAAAAATTTGAGTTAAAGGCACCTAAAAAGACCTCAAGGCGCAACAAGAACAAAACACTGCCTGGTCTGAAAATGTTATATTTGAACGATTTTTGCCAAAATAAAAGACAGCTCAACAGACTGTACCATCTTGGTTAAAAAAATCGAATTTGGAATGCGCTTCTTGCAAAGCTTGATGACAGCAACAAAATAAAAATACATCAAAAATAACAAAAAAAAAAAAAAAAATTCAGCTTCTTGCAATGAGACCATTTAGCTTCGGCTCCAACAAGTGATCGACCACTGCCTGTTCCAGTTCACTGAGCTGCTTCTCGATCCCCGCTAAATCCCTGTAAAATTGAAAATCCATAAGATAAGCTATTCGATGGACAAATATCTAAACAAAATTAGTCCTGGATTATTTCGTTTCATCACAAACTGACGGACACTGTCTATCTTTTGAAGTTATTTACTCAAGTGCAAAGAGAATGAATACCCACCGCTCACTACTGAAACTTTGTTAAGGATTCCTCGGTAGCGAGCATTTTGAAAAATTTTGGCAAACGCAGGCATTATTTGCAAAATTATGAAAATGCTGAAAAAAAAAGACTACGTAAAGCAACACGTACGAGGATCAATAAAAGTGACAAAATTCTGTTAATTACGCATGCATGCAGAGAATATTCAGACCATCTGTACGAAAGCGCACATTTCCCATCCAGAATTACGAGCCGAGAGCATGAAGATAAAGTAATAGTTTGTGGCTTCACATAAATTTTAATAAGTGCAGGAAAGGTGCCACCCTAACCAAGTGCCACCCCAGGACCGCGGTATCAACCCTTCGACACGTCTGGGCCCCGCGTACGACCACGTGAAGATTTTAGCGGGAAAATTGCTAACTCGCGAACGAAAAAAGCTAGAAAGCTGAAACCTTAGGAAATGTTCCCTACCCATATATGACAGAAAGATTTCAAATTCAATTGCCTAGGACTTACGTACAGGCAAGTGAAAATTATGGCGGGAAAATTCATAATTCGGGGATGAGAAAAGCTAGAAAGTTGAAACTTTGGGGGAATGCTCCCTACTCACGCATGACCAAAAGTTTTCAAACTCAGCTCCTTAGGACTGCGCGGGGCTCAAGTATAGGCACACGAAAATCTCGGCAGGAAAATTGCTAACTCGGGAAAGAGAAAAGCTAGAAAGCTGAAATTTTAGGGGAATGTTCTCTGCCCGTGCATGACTAAAGGATTTCAAATTCGGTTGCCCGAGACTGCCAGGGACTCACGTACGAGTGCGTGGAAATTTCGGCAGG